ACGCACCAGAACCTGGAACTACACCTCTGGCTGATTGTCAGGAGCCTTTGGCCATGTCTTCCAGAAGGTGGCGTTCTTTGCCTGGTTCACCTGAGTTCTTGCGTCAGGCCTGTCCTTTTGTGGGCGGTGAAGAATCACTGTCTGATGGGCCTCCACCACGACTCAGTAGTCGTCTCAAGTATGGAGTAAGAGAGATCCCACCATTCCGGGCATCTGCCCTACCAGCTGCTTCAGTCCATGAGGCCATGGATTGCTCCAACCCCCAAGAAGAAAATGGTTTTGGACCCAGGCCCAAGGGGACCAGTCCATGTGTTGAAACTGCCTCTGAGGAGATGGAGGTGGAAGAAAGACCACAAATGACTCCTGTCCATTTCTCTGTCTCGGGAATAAGTTTGCAAACCCAGGGAGAGCAGGATGGGTGAGGTGGTGGGGAGGACTAGTCCCTGCCTCACCATAGGAATGGACCTTTAATGGAAATTGCTGGATCCCCCTTGGTGCACAGCCTGGCTCTTCCCTGGAGCCCCCAAAGCAGGCAGGCTGAAAAGCCTGGCTTAAAAGTTGGGCTTTCAGTGCCCAATGGTTGTAATATGAGGTGTTTCAATAGTTAGGGCCAACCTAATTCTAAGCCTCTGAAATCCAGCAAGGAGCTCTGGCTCCCACTGACTGCAGTGCACGTCCTAGACAGGACCAAAGGACTCTTAGTTCCAGGCTGAGCTGGCAGTCAGCTATGCAGCTAATATCAGTTCCTTTCCTACCCTAGGTCTCTTGTGTCCATTCTGGGGCACATAAGTTACAGGATGGAAACTGGAGCTACCTGGGAGGCTGTAAAGGGCATAGCTATTTCTCAGACTGAAGACTGGGATGCTTCTTGCCAGTATGTCTAAGACACTTGAATAATTGCTGTTTGCACTCACTGTATGGTCAGACCACATCACTACATCTCTATGCAAGGGGGAGACAAGGAATGTGGTGGTGGTCAAAGATCTTTTAGCTAACCTATTCAAAGACCTTTCCAGTTGATTAATCTATTTTCATATTTATAAAGAAGTCTTAATGTTTTGCCTCAAGACTTTCAACCTTGGTGTTGGGAGTGGGGCTGGTTTTGTAGGCCCCAGGGCCTGCACTGTGTATGTGTCAACAGGTGATACAAACCAGTAGTTAATGTATTATACTTGGACTGATTTTTCTCCCTGCTATAGCTGGAGCTTTGGGAACAGTCTGTCCTTACAGAGCCGCAATAAGAAATAACCAAAGAATGAATGAAGTTGGTCAAATATTTTCATAATTTGTTGATTTTTTTTTGTAAAACTTTTCCCAAGACACTTTCAGATTAAAAAATAAAGTTGATGCTGCAGTGCTAGTTAGCCTTATTTGTACCCTTGGATCAGGCCTCTATATAAAAGAAAATAGTGAAGTACTCACTGTCTCTGCAAGGACCTGCTCAACAACTCTTTAGTACTTAAAGGTGACCATAGGCTAATAACTCAAATGACTTTCTTTTTTTTTGAAATAGGGTTTTGCTATATGGCTCTGGCTGACTTGGAATTTGATATGTAGGCCATGAAATTATAGCAGTCCTACCTCAGCCTTCGGGTACTGGGATGACAAACATGAGCCACTACACACTGCCAAACATCTCTCTCCTACTATTAGCTTCTCTCCTAGGCCTAGGGCCAGGCAGATTTTTGGGTCAGCTGCTGCCCCAAGCCAGCTTCATTTTCTGGTTGTGGGCTTTAGAAGAATGAGAAAACTGACTCTTGGCCACTGTAAGGGGTACAGTTTTGCCACTTAGATATACCTTGTTGTGACACTCAGGAAGCCAAGGTCTGGAACTGCAGAGTTGAGGTCCCTGGCTCAGTCCCACATAGGCCATCACATAACCTGTCATAAAGGCATCAAAACCAGCCCGATGCAGTCCATCCCCAGGCACAGGGTTAGGACTGGCTTGACTCACAGGCAGTTCTGTGGTAGCCACATCAACTGTTTCAGAACTTGTTGCTTTATGCTCCATTTCTAAGCCACTTTTGTGAGCTTGCTTGGAACCAAGTTCATCTCTAGTTTCACCCTCTGTCACTCTTTGCTCCATTTCTTCTGTCTTAAGGCTGTCTTCACAGACCTGCTTTGTGGGAGGGCCATCTTCAGCTTCCTCAAAGGTCTGTGTCTCTGGCTGGCTCAGCAAAGCCCTCTTCCGTTTGTCCTTACGTCGCCGCCGACGCCGCTTGTCCTCTGCTACAGCCTCATCAGTGTCAATGATAAGATCAATATCATGTGACTGAGGACACTGAGGTCCTAGAGGGCACCAGCCATAGGCCTGGAGGTTGGAAAGAAACTAAGAAGGGGTTCCATACATCAGAACCTCCCCTTCCCAAGACATGGATGAATGCTCTCACCGAGAACTTGTCGCAGATGCCGGTGGTGTGAGAACGACGGTACGTTACAGGGGACATACAGCATCGGTAGTCAATATGGCCTCTCATGCTAGATGGATAGCTGCAGAACTCCAGGGCAAGATGTGGGGTGCCAGCTGCCCGCTGCTTCCCATTTTCCCGCTCACTGCAACAGCGCAAGAGGGTATTGCTCCACTAGCGTATAAGCTCCACAAGAACAGGGGGGTTTGTGTTTTGTTCACTGCTGAATCCTCAGCACCTAAAAACAGTGCCTGGCATATGGTAGGTACTTGATAAATAATCTTAAGTGGATGCAAAAGGTTCATACCAGGCCCCACCCCTTTCCCTCAACCATGTCCTCACCATTTCCGGAAAGCATATTCTAAGTAGGAAGCTACAAATCGGGCATGAAACTCTGCAGCATATTTGGTGTCATAAATGCCTGCTGGGAACATCTCACACAGGTCAGCAGTGAAGGTTCCCAAGGTCTCAGGCAAGTGTGCGTAGAAGTTCTGGTACAGGAACACCAGGTCTATAAGGCCATTATGTAGCACCAGGGGCCGACGGGCTCGAATTAGTTCAAGGAACAGTGTCCGTACTGACTGGCTCTGGCTTTCATCTCCCTAGGTGGAAGGGAAGGGGTCAGTGGGAAGGACAGCGACAGCGCAGCGCACTTACCCCAGGTTTCCCACCCGGAAAGTGCTACCTCATTGTCTAACCCTCCCTCGAAGGTCTCAGGTTTCCCCAGCCTTGTCATCAGTGACACCCATATTCACAAGCAGATGTCCTCCAGGCATTCAGCCTATGGTAGCAAGAAATACATCACAGAGAACACACACTTAAGGCTAGAGAAGCTGGAGGCCTACCTTGTCGTTGCCCTTATGGTAGGGGATTCCCTGAGCATACTGCCGGTTGAAGTTGAAGCCATGCTGTACCAGGAACTGCACAGACTTTGGTTCTATAACATACTCCTCCATGCACAGTAGGGTGAGATTGAACACTTGGGTCAAATAAGAATTTTCTCCCTGAAAAACAAGGAGGATCTGTTCTGTCAAAAATTAGGAGGAAAACCTCACATTTCTCCAGCATCTCAACTCTTCTGTCCCATGCCTCAATCTGTGTTGAGGGTAGCTCATACCTTATCTGGCTGCTGCTTGAAGCAGGCGAGGCCCAGGGACAGAACAGAACGGGTCCTGGCAGCATGACACACGGCCTTGTAACGTTCCTCGATGCACCTTAGAGTAGGGTTTGGGCATGGCTGTGGCTGAGTTAGTTTCACAAAGGACCCAAACTACCCAGGGCTGATACTCCCTACCCCTGGATTGAGATTTACCCACTTGTTAGAGCTGGGATTAAAGAAAAGCCTTGTACTTACTGGTTCAGCAAACTCTTCCTATCCCCAAGCCCACTCAGCTCCTGTGGATGGGTAAAAGATGGTAATTATTCCCCGAACCCATCAAACCCTTCACAACCACCTGTCCTCCCTGTTTTCCGTGCCTCACCGTGTCCACAGCCACAAAGCTAGCTGTCTTTAAGGCCAGTAAAAGCGATGGCCATATCTCCTTGAAGTTGTCACTTTGTACATCCACCACAGGAACTCGTATTACAAACTCCTCAGCAGACTTTGTGTTTTTGTTGACACCACCTAGGGATAAGGACGGTGATGGATTTTCATGTTCCCACAAGGTCCCAGTTGACAAGCTTTTCCCTAGAGATTTTGCATTCACCGGCTCTACACGCAAGCCTTGGAGTGGACAGTGCCCTAAATTTGGAAAGAGCTTTATGTGGGACTGGGAAATCACTTCCTTTTTGCCATCATTATCAGGAGAGAGGTGAAGTAGACAACCTTTAAGGCTTCTTTATTCTTCAAGCATGTAATCTCAGGACTAGGGAGCATAAAGCTGAAGGATCTTGAGTTTGAAGCCAGCCTGAGCTACAGACCTCAAACACAAACAGATCCCATAAAGTCACATGCGGTTCCTCAGACCCAAGGGTGCTTAAAAGTTAGACCCAAGCTCCATGTATCTTGGACCAACTCCACACTTCCCTAGTGTAACCGATTGACAACCACCGACTCCATCCAAACCACACCTCCCAACATGCCCTCAATCTAAACATTACGGGCTTTGCAGTTGCGCGCGCTGCACACTGGGACTTGTAGTCTCCTAGGATATCTGGCGAAAGCAGAAGCTACAGGCCTGTCTCTAAACTACCGGCCCGAGGCTTTTCCCTCCACAGAACCGCGTAAGCTTCTGTGGCTACCCGCTGGGAAGTCGCTCACCGTCAGAGGTCGTTGGAACTGAAGGTACACCATCCTCTCTGTCTGCAGCCATGACGCCGCGCGCACCGCGCAAGCCTTCTGTGAGTACGCGGAGACTTCCGCTGCGTCTCACAGAAAGACTCCGGTCTAGGATGGGGCGGGGTCTCGGCGTCTCGGTCGCGTCGGGCCCAACTTCCGTTCAGAGCGGTCCGGCCGATTGCGGAGCGCGGACCCTGCGGCGCTGAGTGCCTATTGGCTGAGCGTCCGGACTGAGCGAAGCCACGCCCCCTGGCGGGTTCTCTGGGGCTGCGGGCTGGAGACTGCGCACGAGGTAATTCATTTTTCCGGACGTTCTGGCGGGAACCTGGAACCTTTAAGTTACCGCAGACCTTTTCAGCAGCTATACAGCCCGGGGTTGGGGTGGGCAACGTAGGCTTCCCGGGGGTGGAGGAGAGAATGCCTCCTATGCTGAGCTAAACCATGCCTAGCAGCTCCGGAGAGCTGGGAGTGCGGCAGAGTAAAGGGTCTGAGCGTGGGGCACAACCCCGGGAAGATGGAGGAAGTGAGAGGCGGGAAGCGCCCTGCAGGACACGGGTACACACACAGGTGGTGAAGCCGGGCGGTGGTGGCCTTTACTCCCAGCATTCAGGAGGCAGAGGCAGGCGGATCTCTCTTGAGTTCCAGACCAGCGTGGGCTACAGAAAAAAAAAAAAAAACTCACGTGATAATGTGCACTTGAGTTAAGGGTTTGATAGAAGGATACCAAGGAAGAGCCAATTTGTCAGATTTTGACCCCTGTCAGAAGAGAATAACACTGTCGGAAACGAGTCCCACCTTAGGGTGGGTTCACATCCTCTGGAACCACCGACCTGGATTTCCCCTTACTAAACTAATTTATCAATTCAAAAATTTCTGCAACCTGGTAAGCCTCGCCGTCTATACAGCAATCCAAATCAGACCAAATCAAACCGAATCAGAAGAAGCCCACATAATGGACACGTTCCCAGATGGCCTTCCAGCCCTCACCCGCCACCAGAGACCGGATGCAGTTTAAATACCCCGTGGGAGTGATCTTGAGCATCTCTTGGGGAGGGGTCATCATTTGGCGGGCTTTGGAGGGAGATAGGGGAGAGGGGTTTGGGTGGAACTTCCCCCATAACATTCCAGACTCTGGGTATATTGTTACCAGGGGCTGGGGTGAAGCTTCCACCATAACACCAATATGCAGCATTACCTGACCTCACTGACTTCCCCCCATACCATTACATAATTTTTTTAAAAGATTTTATTCATTTATTATGTATACAACATTCTGCTTTCATGTATATCAGCATCCCAGAAGAGGGCACCAGATCTCATAATGGATTGTTGTGAGCCAACATGTGGTTGCTGGGAATTGAACTCAGGACCTCTGGAAGAACAGCCAGTGCTCTTAATCTCTGAGCCATCTCTCCAGCCTCCCATTACATAATTTAACTAGCATATATTGTGTATAATAAATATATTTGGTGTGGGCTCTGAGGAAATAGAAGAGATCTCTGAGAAGATTTGGAGGGTTCTGTTCCTTTTTAAGATATGGTCTCAACCAGGTGGTGATGGCATATGCCTTTAATCCTAGCATTCCCATTTCCATTCTCAGAGACAGGTAGATCTCTTGAGTTCAAGGCCAGCCTGGTCTAGAGAGTTCCAGGACAGCCAGTGGCTACATAGAAAAACCCTGTGTAGCCACAGGAAAACAACAAGATCGGGTCTTATGTAGCACAGGCTGACCTTGAACTTCCTTTAAGACAGCAACAACAGTGAAAGTCTTCAATTCCCACCCCTGGAGTGCCGAGTTATAGGTGTCACCACCACCCTGATTTGTTTTATTTTGGTTTTTCCCAACAGGCCTTTTCTGTGTAGTCCTGGCTGTCCTGGAACTGTGGGTATGTTGGTCTCGAACCTGGAGATCCTCCTGCCTCTGCCTCCTGAGTGCTGGGATTAATGAATCACCACCTCCAGGCTTTTTGTTGTTGTTTTAAGATTTATTGTTATTCTTTTTAATTACATGTGTGTGTGTGGGCTTGTGCATGTGATTGCAGTTGCCCATGGAGGCCAGAGACATTGCAAAAGCAAGGTCTTTTAATGAAAATGAGGTGGTGAAGTCCAGGTACTGGGGGGGGGGGGGCGGCGGGGGAGAGACATTAAAACTGGTTTGGTAGGATTACAGGGCAGCTGAAGATGAGATCAAATTGCTTAACTAGCCGATGCTTCCTGAGCTGATATGGAAGTAATAGTTTCTGCCTCCTGGAGCCATCTACACAGTAAAGCACCTCCTGGGGTTGAACGCACAGTAAGCACCCATTTGTAAGTGTTAGATTACTTTGTAAAAGCCTGTACTCCCATTTATTTTATTTTATTTATTTTTAATGTGTGTTGTGTTTGTGTGTGAGCCCGTACATGCCTTGGGCATCAGGCTTGTCTTGGCAGGAGGCACTTTATCTGTTCAGCCATCCTGCTGTTCCCTGCTAGTAATGTTTTTGCAATTAGAGAAAAGATAGCCAGGAAAACAGTCTGGCAGCAGTCAGCCAGGTGTATTTTCTTATTACCAATGTCCAGCCAGTTACAATTTACTAGCTCTTTCTTCTCATTGATTTGCCATCTGCTCTCAGGCGAATCTTTTTCCCTCTTTAATTCTTGTTTTCTCATTTCTCTGGTGACTAGGTGACTAGTAATGGTTAGTATAACCAGTCTAAGTATCTAAACAGATAGACTGATTACTTATTCTGTATTCCTAGACACCCCAAACAACCCTTAATCATATATGCTGGTAAGCATCAGGTATATACAAGTGCTCTTTGGTCATTGGCTCTACCCTGCCCCTTTACTCTTTGTCTATTACTAGGCTGCCTTATAATGATTCTCTGAGCAAGATGAGCCACTTGCTCATCTGTTTTTATCATACCTCAATGCCATAGTTAGCCAATACCAAACCCATGGGCATTATCTTAGTTACTGTTCTATTGCTGGGAAGAGACACCATGATAAAGGCAACTTTTTTTTTTTTTTTTTTTTTTTTTTTTTTTTTTTTTTTTTTTTTTTTTGGAATCTTTTTCTCTGTAGGTTTGGAGCCTGTCCTAGAACTCACTAAGATCCACCTGGCTCTGCTTCCCGAGTGCTGGGATTAAAGGCACATGCCACCACTGCCCAGAGCCCAAGGCAACTCTTATTTTTAAAAAAGCATTTAATTAGGGGCTTGCTTCGGTTTCAGAGGCATAACATTGGAGCAGTGATTGAGAACTTTGCATCCTGATTCAAAGGCAGCAGAGAGAAAGAGAGACAGACAGACTTCGCCTTGTTATGGGCTTTTTAAACCTCAAAGCCCACTCTCAGTGACACACGTGCTCCAACAAGCCCACACCCAATCCAAAAAGGCTACACCTCCTAATCCTTCCCAAGCAATTCCACTAACTGGGGACCAAGCATCCAAGCATATGAGCCTGTGGGGACCATTCTCGCTCAGACAACCACAAGCATCTTGAAAGGGCTTAAGATAGACGCATCGGGTATAGTTGTGTACTACATGTATAGTCCCAGTACTTGGGAAGTAGTGATCGGAGAATGTATTATGGCTGTAATGGAACTGAATGGATAGAATGAATGCACATATTAAAAGGGAATTTATTAGAGTGACTCACAGGCTGTGGTCTGAGTAGTTCAGCAATGACTGCCTTCTGATGGAAAGGCCAAGAATCTGGTAGTTGTTCAGTCCAGGAGACTGGATGTCTCAGCAGATATAATCTGTGGTGAAGCCACCCAGGAATTACTAGGGAGTTGTTGCTCTTCAGTCTATGCTAGCAACCTGAAGTAGGTAGAGTCTGATACCAGGGAAAGAATGCCTCAGCAACAGATAGATACACTTGCCAGTGAGTAAGGACAAGCAAGCAGAAAGCAAAAGCTTCCACCTCCTTGTCCTGTTATGTGGGCTGCCTCCAGAAGGTATGGCCCATATTTAGGGTATGCTTTCTCACCTCAAACGATCTGTCTAAGTTAGTGTTTCTATTGTTGTGAAGAGACACCATGACCACATAGCTCTTATAAAAGAAAACATTTAATGGGGTTCAGCTTACATTTTCAGAGGTTTTGTCTATTATCATTATAGCACAAAGCATGTCAGCATACAGGCAGACAGTACTGGAGAAGAAACTGAGAGTTCTACGTCTTGATCATAGGTAACAGGAAGCAACTGTGTCACACCGAGCAAAGTTTGAGCATAAGAGAACTCAAAAACCAGCCCTACTCTCACAGTGACACTCTGCTCCAACAAGGCAGCATCTACTCCAACAAAGTCACACCTCCTAATAGTGCCACTCCCTTTGGGGGCCTTTTTTTTTTTTCAGACCACCACATGATCCAATCAAAATCCTTCAGACAGGGTAGGGGTGGGTGGGTGGGGTGTGTGGAAGGCTACGCAGAGAAACCCTGTCTCAACAAAGAAAAAAAAAGAAAATCCCTTACAGACATGCCCAACTGCTTGGATTTTAGTTGATTTCAGACATAGTCAAGTTGACAACCAATATTAAGCATTACAGTGGACCAGAAGTGTGAAGCAAACCTGGACTACATAGTGAGACCTTTTTTCAAAAGACCAAAAAAAAAAAAAAAAAAAAAAAAAAAAAAAAAAAAAA